CCACCCCTTCCTCCAGCTCCCACCCCACCCCGCCTCTTCCTGCCCACACTCCATCCTCAGCCCCTCCCCCAGGCCCACCCCCACTCCACCCCTTCCCCACCTCTTTCCATCCCCTCCCCCAAGTGTGCCCCATCCCCCCTCCTCTCCCTTCCTCCCAGTGCCTCCTGCACCCTGCGGAACAGCTGATCACAGCAAGCAGGAAGTGCTCGGAGGGAGGGGGCAGAGTTGATTGGCCAGGCCACCAGTGGGTGGGAGTCGGGGGGGGGAAGGGAGGGGAGCTTGGCTGCTGGTGGGTGCTAAGCACCTGCTAATTTTTCTCCATGGGTGCCCCAGCTCCAGAGCACCCACGGAGTCGGCGCCTATGCTTCAGTGCCTGAAGAGGCAATTAGGGACTTCAGCCCACAGTCTCGCTTTCAACAGTAGCTTTAAGAGATATTGATTCTTGTTCCAGATTATTGCTCTCCATGGAGTTGGAAATGTTCTGCATCCCTTACTCAGAGCCAGCCCTGAGCGCAGCGGGAGTTCTGCCAGAGCCAGGACCACAGAACCGGGCCTCAGCTGCATCATGGCCCAAACCATGGCGAGCTAACGGCTCAGGGTGACTTGCCCTGCACACCTGCCCCACCTGAGCACCTGCACAGCAGCTTTCAATGCCTGGGGCCCCTCACACCATCCATGCTGCACTCAGGAGGGAGCCGGTGAACTGAGGGACCCAAGACTTTTAGCTCCCAAATTTTAGCTTCTGATTCACATTTTCTGTGTTTTACCCATTTCTCTTAGTTCATCAAGTATCTAATCAGAGTTCTCTCCAAAACCAGCATTGTGGGTTCTTAGGGGCCTATTCCCCACTGTTAAATTAGAACGGCCTGCCTGGAACAGCCCAGTTTGGGACCATGGGAAGAAGCCTGAATCCAGAAGGGTGTAGGCCCTGTTCAGAAACACAGGTCCTGGTTACATGCTAACGTCCCCAGGTCCATCAGAGAGCAGAGACTCAGGAAACAAAGGAGACACAGAAACAGAATCTCACTCAAAGTTCTCCAGGAGGCATCAAATGCTGCGCAAGGCTGGAGGCGAAACCAGGCCTGGTTAGATAAAGACCAGGAAGCGTGACTTTGCAGGCTGCAGAGGACCTGGTGAAGGGAGCATGGCAGCAGAGGGTGGTGGGGAAAGGGACTCGGAAGTGATGGATGAATTGCATCAAAGAAGATGGGGAGCTGGTGGCTCTTAGTGCTGCCTCGGACAGCTGATGGTGGCAGATGCTTACACATCCTGGTGATGAGATAAGGGGAAGCCCAAGAAGCAAGCCCAAGGGACCTGTGCACACACACTATGCTCATTTATCATTGTTTATTTTAGAGACATTTACTGTTCATTAAACCTGATCTGCACACAATCAGCACAAACATTATTACAAATGCTCTCCTAGCAGGGGCCTCCTGCTGGGGCTTTTTAGCGATTACAGCTGTCACTCCCCATCCCCGGGTCCCCTTCAGTTGGACAAACCCAGAAACTCCTCCTCTCCTATAAGAAAAGAGAGAAAATGTGTCACCACAGGCTGTGCAGAGAGCTCCGTACACACTTCCAGTGCAGCAGGAGGCACCCAGAGGCCATGGCGATGCGCATGGTGTGAGTGCTGAGATGACAGCTGGACAGGCAACCATGGAGATCGCGCCGACTGCAGTCCCACAAACACCAGGACTGTTTGATCAATACAGACATAGAATTAGGAAACAATTTCTTTCAGTGGGGTCACCGGTCCTGGAGTCACAGGTCTGCACCTGTGGGAGGGGGCTTCCCAGCATGGGAGACACACACGAGCTCTGCTGGAGCCAGTGTGCTAAACAGCAGTGTTGCCAGCCACCTGGCTACAAACCCGCCCGGACCCCAAGCTGGCCACCCTGCTATTTTTAGTGTGCTAGCTCCAGCAGACCTAGCACCTGTCTGCCAGCCCATGCCAGGAAGCCCAGTCCCAGCTCCTTCGGGGGGAGGGCTAGCTCAGGGGTTTGAGCATTGGCCTGCTAAACCCAGGGTTATGAGTTCAATCCTTGAGGGGGCCATTTAGGGATCTAGGGCAAAAATCTGTCTGGGGATTGGCCCTGCTTTGTGCAGGGGGTTGGACTAGATGACCTCCTGAGGTCCCTTCCAACCCTGATATTCTATGCTGCTTACTGAGATCAGCCTCACCATTGGCCCCAGAGTCTGTACCCTGCAGCAGTCACTGTCCCCTCCAAATGCTTCTCAGGTACTTTTGAATGTCTTCATTGTTTTCTCATCTATGGGATTTCTAATGGGCCCATCACCATAGGTACACATGGGCAGATTCTACATTCCCTACTTAGACCAAACGCTCTGAGCTCAAGGAGAGCAAGGCCTGCATGACAGGGCCTCCATTGCAGAAAGGCAATAGCAACAGCAGGTTGACAGTCGCTAAGGCCTTGGCTACACTGGCGCTGTACAGCGCTGCAACTTGCTGCGCTCAGGGGTGTGAAACTCCCACCCCCGAGCGCAGTGAGTGCAGCGCTGTAAAGCGCCAGTGTAATCAGAGCCTGCAGCGCTGCATGCTCGCTCGCAGCACTGCAAGCTATTCCCCTCGGAGAGGTGGAGTACAGCCGTGGCAGCGCTGGGAAGTCCTGAGTGTAGCCAAAGCCCAAGTATGTGAAACTCCTGAGCAATAGCACAGCTGCTTTCCAGTGGCTGGAGCCCTCACCCAGCCCAAGGTGCACTCAGTGGGGAATAGGTGAGCTGCAGGACCCTCCCCTCCATCACAGACATGGCTTCATTAATCCTTGACCCACACAGCTAGCACAGGATATAACCCCAGAATTAGTCTTTCTTCCCATCAGAGCTCAGGGAGCGCCAATGTTCCCTTGAGATACTGGCACTGGACTGGGTACCTGGCAGATCTGGGATGTACCTGTGACAGGAGGCAGAAGCCAAGTGGTTAATGGAAACCTATTTGCCAATAGCAGCTCAGAGCTAAGTGCATTGTGTAGCAGAGCTGTTGACGCATTCAGGACCACCCCAGAGGGGAGTAGCGCCTGGCTAGAGTAGGAAACTGGCCAAAAAGGATACCTAAGTTCTGTTCCTGCTTCTGCCACTGACTCAGTGATCTCGAGAAAGTCACTTAGGAAAACACTTTCCAAGGTGGGTGCCTGCAGTGAGCACCTAGAGCCATAAACCAGGAACAGTGTGACTAGAACCAGCCAGATTTTCCGGCGTGTTGCCTTTACTTGGAGCTGCAGGGACTCAGGGCCTCTGAAATCCAGGCTGCTGCCTTAGGAGGTCTGGATTTAGAGCCTTACAAATAGATTTAGAGATTTAACTGTAGGCACCAACTTTGAAAATGTTGGCACTAGCCTGTCTTTGTGGTGTGCCTCAGTTTCCCTGCCTCTTAAAAATGATCAACCCATTCTCCACCGACGTAAAGGACTGGTGAGAAGTGCTGCATGGCAGGAAACAAGGCCTGCCACAGAGCCAGTCTCCGGGCAACCTAACGAGCACAGCTGGCCTGTAGCCAACTCTTAAGCCCAGCAGCATCAGTTTAGTTGCTGCTCAAAGCACTCGCTCCCGACTGTGTTAGCTCTTGTTCATTGCCAGCCCTCTCCTGCCTTGTCTCATTCCAGGGAACCCCATTCTGACTTCAGACTTCGGCTCTGACCCTTGGCTCTGACCCCTGCCAGCTGGCTCTGGCAGCCAATTCCTGGAGACCAACTCCTGCACTAACCACTAGGCATGGCTCCCGCTTTCCTCACAGGGCATGATCACTCACTGCCCGGTCACCGACGCAACATTAGTGCCAAGCACTTGTTATGGTTTCAAATGGTTAACTCTGCTCACCCACCAGCAGAGGGCAGGCAAAGCAAGAGGGGCAGGCGCCCTCTGCCCCACCCCTTATTCAAGGCCCCGCCCCGCTCACTCCATCCCTCCCTCTGTCACTCGCTCTCCCCCACCCTCGCTCGCTCATTTTCACTGGGCTGGGGCAGGGGGTTGGGGTGCAGGAAGGGGTGAGAGCTCCGGCTGGGGATGCAGGCTCTGGTGTGGGGCCAAGGATGAGGGGGTTGGGGTGCAGGAGGGGGTTGGGGTGTGGGAGGGGGTGAGGGCTCTGGCTGCGGGTGGGGGCTCGGGGCTGAGACAGAGGAGTTTGGAGCGCAGGAGGAGGTGGGGAGGGGGCTCCGGGCTCGAGTTTGGGTGCAGGGGGGGGCTCGGGGGGGGGGCAGGGGGTTGGGGTGCAGGAGGAGGTTCGGGGTGCAGGCTCCAGCCCCGGAAGCAGCCGGTATGTCCCTGCGGTCCCTAGGCGGAGGCGCGGCCACATGGCTCTGCGCGCTGCTTCTGCTCCCAGGTGCTGCCCCTGCAGCTCCCATTGGCCACAGCACCCTGCCTGCCCCGCTGCGAGCAGCCAACGAGACTTTTAGCAGCCCGGAGCCACCAGTGTCCCTTTTCAACTGGGCCGTTCCAGTCGAAAACCAGATGCCTGGAAACCCTAACCAGCAGCCAAGCTCCCCCTTCCCTTCCAGCTCCTCCCGCCCCCTGCGATCAGCTGTTCTGTGGTGTGCGGGAGGCGCTGGGGGAAGAGGGCGGAGCTGGGCAGGAAGAGGTAGAGGGGGATGGGGGCTTGGGAGAAGGGGTGGAGTGGGGCTGTGAGAGGCAGGGCAGGGGTGGGAGCTTGGGGGAAGAGGGTGGGGGGGGAGGCCTGGGATGGACTGGGGAGCACCCCCAGGGCCCAGAGGAAGCCAGTGCCTGGGGCAAGAGGATCTGGCAGCAGGGCTGAGGGGGTAGAGAGACGGTGTCATGTTACGTCCTTCGTGGAAGAACCAACTTCCCCGAGCTGCAAATGCTGGTGGGCCGAGAAGGCCGGAGCCAATGGCTACTGAAGCAGGGTTAGCTCTGTGATAGTACCGGGCGAGCCGTACCGTCTGCCGGGACCCCGCAGTATTCCTTGCACTCCTTCTCCGTATAGAACTTGTTCCCGTTGCCCTGGCAGCCTCCATAGTTGAAGGTAGTGCACTTGCCCTGGGTTGCATCAAAGGCCCAGAGCATCACTGGTTGCTGACAGGGCCCTGGAACTATGGGTAACCTGCAGGCCGCTGGGAGAAAGAGACAAGAGGGGAGAAAGTGGAGTACCATTCTTCCCAGGCCCAAGGCCTGGAGCCCCCCCAGTTATGGACTGGGAGCCAGTGGAAGGAAAAGGATGCATGCAGTGGGCTAGCAGCAGTATCTGCCACGCTGGCATATCTGGTGGGTGGAGGAGAGGAGTGGGACTGTCAGGGGCAGGCTTGTCTGCACCCAAGTGGTAGTGCTTTAACTGCACCGGCCTAGGGAAACCAGCAGAATGCCCCCTCTCCCCGCCCCCCACACACTTATATCCACGTGGTGCTCGGGCACCAGCAATATTCAGAGCCAGGGTCCAGCTCCAGCAATACTTGGGGCTGGGTGTCCCCGCCCTGGCCCCACCTGCAGCCCCCACCCCCCACGCCTTCCCCGAGTGTCCCCTGGCCCCGACTTGCTGCCCCTGCCCCCCGCTCGCCTTTCACGGCCCCGGAGCAGTGTCCCAATCTCTTCCGCAGGGTCCTAGTGCCCCCCTGCTCCACTGCCAGGGCAGACTGACTCTGAGCTTGCCCTTCCCCCTCAGACCCTTCCCTTTTCCAATGGGACCCTCCAGCAGCACAGGGGACCCCCCTGCCCGCAGTCACCGCTCCTGCCCCATGCTGGGCAAGGAGGCAGCCCCATCCCTCACCCCCAGTGAGGCTACAGTCAGGGGCAACAGCAGGGGAGGAGGCGCAGCGCCCCCCGGCACCCACCACGGGGGAGGCAAGGGAGATTCCTGGACCTGAGAGGGGCCCTAGGAGCACATGCAGTGACAGTGGTGGGGGTGAGTGTGCTGCTGGGGGGGGGGGCAGGAAAGGGGGGCTCCTCCCCCAGAGCTTGCTGCTGCCAGCAGGGAAAGAGCTGGGGGGAGTCCTCCTCTCTGGCCCCTGTCCCAGAGCAGCCTGCCTGCACCCCAAACTCATCCCCAGCTCTGCCCCACCCCAGAGCCCACACCCCCAGCCAGAGATTTCATCCCTCCACCGCACCCTCAACCCTCTGCCCGAGCCCTGAGTCCCTCCAGCACCCCAAACACCTTATCCCCAGTCCAAGCCAGAGCCCTCACCCCCGACACTCCTACTCTCACCCTGAGCCCCTCCCATACTCCAAACCTCTCATCTGCAGCCACACCCCACAGCCCTCACAGCACCCCATCCCTCTGCACCCCTCCCATCCCAAAACTCCCTCCCAAAGCCTGCACCCTGCACCCCAATCCCCTGCCCCAGCCTAGGGCCTGCACCCCAGACCTCCTCCCTCACCCAAACTCCCTCCCAGAGCCTTGGGCAGGTGGGGGCGGAGATTTTATAGGGACAGTCCCGATATTTGGGGCTTTTTCTTATATAGGCCCCTATTACCCCCCACCCTCTGTCCCGATTTTTCACACTTGCTGTCTGGTCACCCTATCCAAAACTAATGGGTTTTGCTTTGGCCCCTGAATCACAAAAATCAGTGACTCGCTCAGTTCTAGCTACCTCTCCATTTTCAAGTCACCTCCTGCAGTCAGGCCTTGGGCATGGACACTGTTTGGTCTCATTTTGGCCCCTGGCTGATTTCTCAGAGCTGTCCCCGCTGCGCTGGGCTCCCTCCACACTGGCAGCACGTGAGCATGTCGCTTCCCCACGGCACTGAGCCTGGGTCACTTGCACAAGGAAAGAGCTTTGAAGCAGGAAGCCTCGACCATACAGGAGGAGCAGAAGGCTGGGGGCGCACAGATCAGAGGGACAGCGAAATCTGAGCCCTCCCCTCCTGCACTGGCCAGGGACTGCACAGACGGTTGCTCAGACTTTGAAGGGCTGCCCTCCTTACCCTCAGTTCTGCAGGTCTGAAGACACTCCTTTTCCGAAGGGAAGTTGTTCCCGTTCCCAAGACAGCCACCATAGTGGAAGGTCTCGCAGGCCATAGAAGAGGAGTTGTAGAAGAACCGAACGTTCATCCCCATGCAGGGGCCCACATCTTTATTCAGCCGGCAGAAATCTGAGCACATCAAGAGGTTGAGCCTAGTGAATTGCGTTTTACACCCACAGAACCACGTGGCGTGTGGTGGTGACATCCAGGGGCTACATGGCCGTGTCCCCTGCCCACTGAGCCGTCTCTCCAGGGACATAGCCTAACCCCCAAACCTCTGAGGAGATTCAAACCTCTCCCATTTCCATGTGCTGCTTTCCCCCATCTATGGGATTTCCCGTGGAGATCACCCAGCTCTGTGGGGCAGGGGGATCAATGGTCAGTCCTGGACTAGGGGAAGGTTTGTAGCATAGGGAGCTGTGTCCCACTGGAAAAGGCAGAGAGTCCCAGCTCTCTGATGGCCACACTGCAGTTGCCAGTAGCCCTGGAAGGTCCCGAGGCAGGAGGCTTAAAGTGATAGCACCTGGCTGCCTAGAAAAGCTATGGCAGGTAAAAATTGAGGTTATCAACATGAATTTATTCTGTGTTTCTGCTCCCGCTGAGGTCTGTGCACAGCCATCCCTTTTCCAGGCAGATGGAGGAGGAGAGTCCCAGTGGGAGTACTCCAGCCATCCCCAGAGCATGGTGAGACCCCACCTTAGTACAGACCTTCCTTTTTGCTGCTGAGTGGGGGCAGGGGACCTGCACCTGAGCCCTCTTGCTCGGGCAGGACAGCTCTCCGATCCCTCTGCACACAGAAGAAAGAGCAGCTCGTTAGGTGAACAAGTTTCCATCGACAATGCAGTGGAAAAACCGTGAGCCATAAATCCCAGCATCTCTCCTAAGATGGCAACGAACGCAGAGATTCCACAGGCCTATAAGGTGGGGGACACACAACCCCCCTGGGAGCAGGAGCAGGCCCAAGAGGAGCGGGTCCCTGGGCAGAACATATTCTCCCACGTGAAGGATGGGCCTGGGAAATCACTGGGATTTCTAACAGAGCTTCTGCAGCATTCTGCAGCATTCCGCTCCCTCTTCACCCCTGGGAATGGCAGGGGTGTCAGTCCCAGCTCGGGTAGATGTATGGGGGGGCAGCTAGGGGGTGTCAGTCCCAGCTTGGGTAGATGTACCAGCGAGGGGAGGGAGGGACAGCTGGGGGGTGGAGTCCCAGCTCGGGTAGATGTATAGCGCTATCTCTGCTTGTGGCAGGTGGGCTCCAGCTGGCTGCTCAAGTACATACCCGGGTAGCGCATCGGACTGTACTCAAGCAGCTAGTCCATCCATGTCACAGTGGCCATGCTGCTATTTCAGCTTGAGCAGTGCTAGCACAGCTACTGTGCTGCACAGAGATACCCACTGAGCTTCTTCCTTCAGCAAACCCGAACAGCGCAGTAAGTAACAAAGCAAGCAGCTGTTGTCCATCAGGCAAAGAAGTATGTGCACCCCTAGGAACGGACTGCCAGGGCTGTCCGGGGGGAGGGGGGGCAGAACAAAAGCTGCAGCTTGCACTGGGTGCCCCATTTGAGGACCCGCAAGCCAAGTGGCATGACCTGGAGTCACAGTGCCAGTCAGTGAAGTTTGGCTCTCCTCTTGGCCTCTGTGATATCTTGTAGCAGTGAGTTCCACAGACTAAGTATGTGTTGTGTGAAAAAGTATGTTAGGTCATCCTGCTTTTTGGCAGGAGCTGGACTTCTGGGACAGGTAATGGGACATGAGGCCTTTCGCCTCTTCGTCACCTAAAAGTTATTGGCCATTTGATAGCCCCTGTATGCCATGAGTTTGGTGGTCTCAGACCACTTCCTAGTGAGCAAGTGTCTCACAAATAACCTCCACTACATCTGAGAATAATTAAATGGCTGTTGGCACCAATTGGCACCAATTTACCCAGCGGAGGGCTTGGCCCTAAGGTATAAACAGGCCACAGATACTGACATGCCTTCTCCCTCTTCGAAGGGGGTCCCTCTGAGTCCAGGTGGGGCACATAGGTGGACAGGGGGGACTCCCGGCTCCAGAACTGGCTACTTGCACCAAACATGGAACATTAAAGTAAAATCAAATGTAACAAAGTGTCGTCTTCATGGGGTCTTTCCTCGGCTTAGAAGCTAACCCCTTGCGCCGGGGCGGCTCTAGCTTTTTTGCCACCCCAAGCACGGCAGGCA